AAGGATCCCATTCGAGGAAATTAAATGGCACATGCACTTTATGCATTTTTGTTTGTTTTAAAGCAAATCTCTAATTCCTGTTGTGCTCCAAATCTAAGTAAGCAGGTAAAATTCTGGTCCAGCAAAAACCTGCCTTCCTGTAAGCCTTACAGTGTTAGGTATAAGAGAAGTGAGACTCTGAGTAAAGAGTACTCCAGAGTGATAGTTTTGATGAAGAATAAATCAAAACAATGATGCATGGGAGCCATGAGCACATTGGGGATTGTCAGAGAGAGACAATATTGTCCATTCAACAATAAACCTGCAGGACCCCTTGAGGGCAAGATGGGCAAGTTCAGATGCAAGCAAGCCTAGCTGCCTTTTGCATTGGCTATGGAATGCAGCAGCCAGACTGATTAAAGATCTGTAGTAGTAGCCAAAGCAGTAGCTCCTAAGCCTGAATTTCAATCCTGTGTGCCATTAAGTGGGAAGGTATCCTTGATCTAATCATCTGACAGCTTTGGCCATCAATTTTTCTGTTTAAAATGAGACTTCATTTCTTTAACGATCCTTTCAGCTTTAAATGTTTATGAATCTGCTGAAGCCACTATATTTATATTGATGTGAAATTTTGAACTGCCTTTAAATGGAATGACTAATTATTAGCAGAACTTTGTGGGGTTCAGTGCATTATCAACATATTATCAACAAAAGGCACAATGAGGATATTTTATTTTATAATTCCATCCAATTTTCTTCACCCTGGATAGTTGTATGGAAATGTCCATGTTCATGTTGTGAAAAGGACATTTCTTCTAACCTCGCACAAAGATACCTTTCAAGTCAATGTTTTTTATAAGGCAATGAGAGACTTACAGGAGCCCTAGAGATATGAATGCAGTAAGTGAAAAAGGGACATGGGAGATTAAGTTCTTAGGGAAATTTTGTGGAGCGGGGCTGGACCTAGGCCTGGGAATCAGGAAGTTAGAGTTCTAATTTCAGCTTTTCCACTGATTCACTTGGGACCTTGAGAATGTCTGACTCATTTTAATTATTCTGTGCCTCAGTTTCCTTATCTGCCATTTAGAGTGAGAGTCCTTGGCTGGGTGCCCAGGATTGTGAGAACATACTGTGCAGAGCCAAGAAAATACAATCAGTCCCAAAAATGGGAAATAATCTAGTTACTTGATGTCCTGACTTAAGATGGAAATGTTAGCAAGGCTAAATTTTTTAATAATCAAAATGTGAATGTTTTAGGAAGCATAGATATCTGGGTGAAAATTAAGTGAATAAACTATCATAACCCCAGGAATACATAAGTAAAAGATCAGACTTGAAGTAAGACTAGTTCCAGATTTACTACTTAGCATTCGTGTGACTTGAGTAATTTCTTAACCTCCCGCTGTATCCTCATCTATAAAACAGGAATAATGGCATTCATCTCAGTGGATTGTGGTAAAGATTATTACAAATGGAAGTTAATTCTTTTTAGCATCTGGTAGCATTTGAATTCACAGTCACTACGTACTTTGCAGCTGGTAGTTTCTCTTATAACGATTGTCACCCAGAGCAAGGAATGCTTTAGTGCTACTATATATTGAGCATGTACTATATAACAGTGCTCTATCCCCATGCTAAACACTTTACATAAATTATCTCATGTATTCCTCACAAAAACCTATTACTATTCCTGTTGCAGAACTGGAGGTAGAGAGAAACGAAACTTTATTTGTGGCTCCACTGTTTTCCTTCACCTGCCTTGATTTATTTTTCTCAGCTGCATCTAATTGGCTATTAGTGTTCTCTTAAGCCACCTTACATTTTCAAGACTAAAGCAACAACTAACTGAATATATTTATATAACATGTTATTTTTGTCATGTTACTGTCCTACCCTGGAGACCTGCTTTAAGTTCATTTTTCTATTTGAAGATAAATCATGCTCACTGGCAGTTTTGGGAAAGCACTGAAAAAGCAGCTATCCTTAAATTTTCTAAGCAAGTAAAAGCTTAAGAATTTCCATTATGTTCATTGAAAACAGCATTTATATTTATGCTTAGAAAAATAAAGTCATTATCAAGAAATCTTACACAACAGGAATATGTTCATATATCTTCACTAATAATCAATTGTGCATATGATGTATATGACCTTGTCATAACGCTTTCCTTAAACCCCTGCTGTGGAAATTCTTATAGTTACCAAAGGGTTAAATTTAGCAAACTATTTTTTGTTAATGTATCTTTTAGTTGTGAAATACTACAATTGCCTTAGAGAAACTTTTTTTTAAAGGTTTTTTTTAAGCAATGTGGTATTAAAGAAAGAATCGGTATCTTTGAGACCCAATTCAAAACTCAAATCCATTTCTTATTTACCTAGACAATTTAACATTTTGAACCTCACATTTTTTAAAAAGTGGAAATAGTGTATTACCAAGTTGCTGAGAGTTAAATGAGAACAACGTCTGATCATAACAGCCAGTCAACAAATGTTAGTGACTTCTCTTCCCTTGGAAAAGAATCTCAAGGCAGATGTGCTTAGTCTGCTCTGTAAAGAGATAGGAATCCTCTGCTTCAGTAAAGTCCTTTCCAAACTCCATTGGCAATAGATTCTTTATTTTCAAACAAAAGTAATGTACTTTTGTATATTGTACATAAAACATGTATACCCATTTCAGAACATTCATGGACCACCACTGCCCATACTTTGACCCATATTAAGAATGTCTGCTCTAGTGTATTAATTTTAATGTCACCAATTTCTCTGGCAAAACAAGGTCATCGTGTAAAAACAAAATTATTTTGGTGTCTTGCAATTAAATGAAGAAAAACTGCAGGATTTTATTTTTAATAGCTTTGTTTAAATTCAGCATTAGAACAATTAAATAAATTGCATGTAAGCTTTATAAAAAAATTGATCTGACTTGCCACATATTTTGTGCAACCTTTTAAAACACACAAGTTAAGTTTACTTCTGTGTCTAGATCTAAATGAGCAAAGAAAAAATTAGAATGATAATAAAATTATAAGTTCATTTATATAATTGTGGACGTACCATTTTTACATATTACATTATTAGGACATTTGACAATAGATCAAGAAATAGGATGTTATAGAAAATACACTTATACTATTGGTAAGCATCATGCACTTTTTCCAAAAGTTGTTTTATTGTGTTGACTCCAAGAAGCTCCATAAAATAACCTAATCCTGAGCTTGTCTGTATTGCTACTAGCAGTAATCAACTAGTTTGGAGATCTCTATTAGATCTCTTCATATATCTGCCAACACCAAGCAATTGAGCTGGCTCTGTCCCACTCTTTGGGTAGTAATTATTTTTTTTATCCAGTGCTTTAGTTTTTGTCTATATAAATACTTCCAGGGGATAAAACCTCTTGAGAATTAAGGTGAACATGTACTATGAGAAAGGGACCACGTTTCATTCTGGCCCCACCTTTGTAAAATGACAACCAACCTTTCCAGAATCATTTGAAACCCCAGATCACATTGAAACAATGCATGTAGTAGCACTTGGTAACTGTTAAGTGCTATGTGACTGCAAACTCATTTAATTACTACCTAGTGGTTACCAAAAATGACTACTACAGGATTCATTTAGTGTGGACCACTGATATTTACATCTGTCCTTAAACTTTACTGTTTCCTTATCTGCCAAGTAAAATACATATAGTTCAAAAATGAAGCTCTCTCAACATTTTTTTTAACTGCCTTTCTTTCTGACTTTCTTTTTGATGTTAATGTCATCTCTGTTCTCTTTTGAAGGCAAATTAAAAGCTCAAAGCTCATTTTAGGCTTTTCTCTATCCAACCATGAAGTAACCAAGTCCTGTGGATTCTTCCTTTTACATTCCTACAATTCATTCTTTTCTTTTCTCTATGGCCGCTATTCCAGTTTTGGCCCTACCATCTCAAACTTGGGATACAGCAACAATCTCTCTTCCTTGAATCTCTCTTCCCTTTCCCCAGCCTCAACACTTCTGACAAATTAATCTTGATAAATGACTACACTGATTGTGGCTTCAGACTGCATTCTCCCACTTCAACATCTTCAATAGACTTCCCAAGACTTCCTACTGCCCACCCTCCGCTAAGTAAAAAATATTGAGTCTGGCCTCAACATGCTTTTCCAGCCATGGCCACACAGGTCTCTCTGCTTGTGACACTCACTTGTTCCTGGGGCCTTGCTCACACTCATTTCCAAGGTCCCTTCTTCCTTCCTCTCCAAATCATACCCCATTTTCCAAGCCCTGCTCAAGACCCATCACTGCATGAAGATTTCTTGAGTCCTCACAGTTCACAATGATCTAATTTACTGAAGAAGTTCTAACAGTGGAGTGTTCAAAAAGTCAATAATCAATTAAGTAACTGCCCTTTAATATTGTGTGTGTAGTTGCCTCAGAGTGCAGTTAGCTTAAGTAGTATAATTTACTAAGTGCCTTGCATATTTATCTATATTACTAGGTTTTACTTGAAGGCAGTAATTTATCATCCATTTGGTTTCCCCTAGTACAGTGGTTCTCAACCTTTCACATGGTAAAGAAATACCTGGTTGACTGGCCAGTGTTGCTCAGTGGTTGAGCGTGGAGAGGTCGCTAGTTCAATTCCCAGTCAGGGCATGTGCCCAGGTTGTGGGCCAAATCCCCAGTAGGGGCATGCAGGAGGCAGCCAGTCGATGTTTTCTCTTATTGATATTTCTATCTCTTTCTCCCTTTTCTTTCCTCTCTAAAAATCAATAAAGAAAAAAAATTTTTTTTTAAGAAAGGAAACACCTGGAAAGTTAAAAGTCCTCCTGGATTCCACCCCCAGAGATGCAGTATGATCTGGGTGGAGCCCAATATGTACTTTTCCAACAAGTTTGAGGTGACGCTAACCTGATGTTGCTGGGTGCCTTCAAACATTCCACACTGTACATAAAATCTAATACATATTTATGAACATTCATTAGTGAGTTTTTCCTGTTTTCTTCTATTTCAAGTTCATGTTCTGTTACTTTTTCCTTTTAGATTGACTTTGAAGATGTGATTGCAGAACCAGAAGGGATACACAGTTTTGATGGCATCTGGAAAGCCAGCTTCACCACCTTCACTGTGACAAAATACTGGTTTTACCGCTTGCTGTCTGCCCTCTTTGGCATCCCAATGGCGCTTATCTGGGGCATTTATTTTGCCATTGTTTCTTTTGTGCACATCTGGGTAGTTGTACCGTACATTAAGAGTTTCCTGATTGAGATTCAGTGCATCAGTCGTATCTATTCCATCTGCATCCACACCCTCTGTGACCCACTATTTGAGGCTTTTAGCAAAATATTCAGCAATGTCCGCATAAACGTACAGAAAGAGATATAAATGACATTTCAAGGATAGAAGTATACCTGATTCATTTTTTTCTTTTAATTTTCTTGGTGCCAATATCAAGTGTTAAGTTGCTAGTACAGCAACAATATATGAGTGAATTTTCTTGGTTCATAACAAAGAAATCACTCTCTTAGTCTTAATAACTATTATTTGTCTCTTCTGAGCTATTTCAGCAATATTTTTTTTGGTTGTCTGAATTTTTTAAACCCATTTCAAATGTTTTACTTGCATTTTTATTTACATGTGGGTCATTGTTTTATTGGTTGAAATATGAAGCTATTGTTGAAAGATACTTTGAAAGAAATATGAAAAACCAGTGACCTCAACTGCCTATTCTAAAATGTCAATGGTTTTATGGTAAAGGAAGAATTCCAGGTGCTGGCCATTGATTGTACAGGTATGTGGCTGGTTTTAAACAAATTCTTCCCTCACCATTGAAGTGTTAATGATTGCTGCCATTCATTTTAATGATTCAATGAAATCTAGTGATCTTTATCAAATTAGAAAACGTACTTGGCATTCACAGTCTGACTAATGTCTTACCCTTCTTGAAATTTTAACCTGTGATACTTTCTGTGCCTGAATATTTGTTACATAGATATGAGATTTAAGTGCCTTCTTGTTCATCATATATTCCTTCTCAAATGGGGTCCAGCTGATTAATTTTCATTAGGTCAACAACTTCCCTGGAGACCAAAATTAGAAAATCCATTACCTAATTCTCCACACTTGTTTCTCACTCTGAGAACAGAGTCAGATGAAGTTCGTGTCTGTACTTGATCACACACCATCTTTATTTATATCCAGCATGGTCCACATCAGCCCCCAAAAATGAATTAAGGTAGACAAATGGGGCTGTGTCCTCTCTGGCTGGCAGGAGTTGAAACCAACTTCCCTGCCTCTCATCAGCTGAATGAGGTCAGCTATCTATTCAGCTTTGTTTTCAAGAATAACCAGCTTTCCTGACTCCAAACTAATCCATCACCAGGGTGTTTTGGTGACTGAACAATGTGTTCCCTTTTCAGCTGATCAGTGGGCCTCTGAGGGAAAGGCTTGTAAAATTGTGTGAGACTGTCAGAGTTGTTGCAAATGTGACCCCTTCAAAGCAAAGCACTTGCAAACATCTGTTGTGCTGTGAGATATAATCCCTCTCCCTATCAGGATCTTTGAACCTAATTCAGACATCACTTTTCTCAGAGAGAATATGGGGGAAGAGATTGAGGTAGCTTTGCTGGAATAAATTCAAATTCTTCTAAACTCAAACTGAGGAATGTTACCTATAAACCTGAGTCATACAGAAAGATGCCTGGTACATTGAAAAACTTTTTATTTCTCCTGCTCATGTTAAGATTCTGCCCTTGGGAAATTTATTTTAACTTTCAGTTATGCTTTTACTTTTTACACTTGTTGGAACTCTGCTTGATGAGTTTTTTTGTTTTTGTTTTCGTTTCATCTTGGGTTTTTTGCCTCTTCCAGTTTTCTTGACACTTTACTTACCAACTTGTTACCTACTTTGAACTTTAGCATTTAAAATAGACACTGGCATAGACATAGTTTTACTTTTAATCTGTGTACATAACTGAATATGTACTATACTGCATAGATTTTAAGTGTAAAGATATTTTTATCTTTATATGAGGAAGATCACTTGGGAAATTGCTTTGTGATTCAATCTGTAAACTGTGTATCCCAAGACATGTCTGTTCTACATATATGCTTAGTTTCTTGTGCAAATCAAGTGGTGGTTCAAAAGCTGAAATTTATATGCTTACTGATATATTTTACACTTTTTTATCCTGCATGTCCTGAAAGTTTATAAGTCTACACAATAAAAATGTTTAACAGTTCTATAGTCAGCTTTATTATTATTCCCCAAAACAAATGTATATATGTCAATGCCTGTGTGTGTAGAGTTGATGTACATAGTGTGTATACATATTTGTAGGGTTTTTGTGGGAGGTGGTAGTCTTCCACTTTTCAAATATTACAGTCATTTAAGTGGGGTTTTTCTTCTAAGGCCATTGCCATTCATGAGTTACTTTAGATATAAATTATAATTCATAAGAAAGATTTGCTTAGCAGTTTACCCAATGCTTTATTATATGTCATCTAATTTGAGCCCTTAACAACTCTGTGTGACAGATATTAATATTTTCCTTTAGTAAATGACACATTCAAGGAGTAATGCCTTGAATTTTGCCATGTCTTAACTGGAATTATTTTATAAGATACATTTCAGAAACTATTTTTTGGCTTTGGGTAAATTTAAAATCTATATTATTCAAGGTTTTCCAGAGAAATAGAACCAATAAAAATATATGTATATGAAATATATATGAATATGTAAGGAATTATATGTATTTTAAAAGGTTTATTGTAAGAAATTGGTTTGCACAATTTATAGAGGCTAAGAAACCTCAAGATCTGCAGGATAAGTCAACAAGCTGGAGACACAGGAGAGTCGATGGTGTAGTTGCAGTCCAAAAGCTGGCATGCTTCAGACCAGAAAAAGCTGAAGTTTCAGTGTGAGTTCAAAGGCAGTAAAACTAACTAACTAACTAACTAAATAAATAAATGATGTTCTAGTTTGAAGGCAGTCAGACATGAGGAATTTCTCTTAATCAGGAAAATATCAACCTTTTGTTCTATTTATTTCTTCAACTGATTGGATGAGGCCCACCCACAATGAGGAGAGCAATCTGCTTTACTCAGTATACTGATTTAAATGTTAATATCATCCAAAACACCCTCACAGAAACACCCAGAATAATATTTGACCAAATATCTTGGCATCCAAGTCAAGTTGGCATACAAAATTACCCATCACAGTTTCCAAACAAAATTTTGCAAAGGTGATCTTCTAATTTCTCTCATCCTGAAATTCCTAGTTGACATGCAAAATTAACCATCACAGTTTCCAAACAAAATTTTGCAAAGGTGATCTAATTTCTCTCATCCTGAAATTTCTTTCATGCAGTCCCTTTCTTTGCTGGGCTCTCAAGCAAGCACTAAGGCTACTTATTTAGTAACCTAGTCTGGTATTTATGTTGACCCAAAAAAATCCACGTCTAGTATGCAGTGTGGAGAAATGCTTCTGACCATAGCAGCATGTGAGATTCTGGCCAAAGCCATTCCCCGAATTCAAGCTGAATCAGTTAAGTGACTTTAAAGAAGGATTATCTTTCTATTAGTTTTATTTCTTATTATTTTTATTATTCTTTAAACTAAGATTTCACTACTTTGAAAACATATATGCAACTTATATGTTGGATCTATTCAGATTTTCAAGTACCCAGATAGTGAAGACTAAAATATATGCTGTGGTAGAGAGAACAGAAGATCCATCAGAGTCATATTTTTTTGCATCCTTATGGGATTACTGGCTAAAAGGCCCCTTTGCCCTTGTATGTTTATTTATGCATTTATTTGTTTCAATCTCTGTTCAACACTGCAGGTTTAAAAAGAAAGAGTTACACATGAGTGATTAATGGACCTAGAGCTGCCAGCCAGGCTCATTATTTGAACATAAGCAATTAGGTAGTGAAACAACCCAGTTCTCTTTGGGGGACCTGATGTTGCCTTGGTCTTGTACAGAGCATGTTTAACTCCAAGTAGTCAGGTATGGAACCCAAGGTGCAATCTCACCCCACTATAATTCAGTGATTTCTAGATTATCCTGTGAGGTCTCTCCCTGTCTTCTGGTCCATATAAAACTGTGAGTGATAGTTGTATGTGGGTTTTATTATTTGAGTTTCTAAATGAATGCATATTAAATAAATCAATATTTTATTTACCTATATTTTGGTTCTGCCACACAAATGAAACAGTTATATTGTAGTTGCACAAATAACTATATGGCTTCAGACAACTTTTACTCCATATTTGGGAATAGAAAGCTTCCTACTTCACACATTTTGTAAATGTTAGTTATATATTAATACACACCAATCTAGTGGAATGGGACTCTATCTGAATAGCTGATTCATACCTTCTCTGATGCAGGTGCTGATACTTAAATGTCTGGTTTATAAATTATAGTACATATTTATAAAATTAGGATTGGAGGGTGTCAACGGGGGGAAAAGGAGGAATATCTGTAACAAAAATAAATTAGAAATGTTTAAAAAATAGGATGGGACGGGAGAGGTAAGCAAGGTATGCTTAACATAATACAGCAATCATGAAAAAAATTATTAGTAATGAGGTAATAAAATCACAACAATGTTGAGGACTTAAAAAATGACAGTGGATTGAATGGAAGCTACATAGACCATCTCTGAGGACCAAACTGGAATGACAACAAAAATAAAAAGAAACCATCATGAAAAACCAACAGAAAACCAGCTGGACAGAACCCATATAACCAGGGAAAGAAAGAGGACACCAAATTGAGCCTAATAGGAATTGCGGAGGTGTGAGAGGGTAGCCTAGGAACAAATGGACAGCAGCTGAGGGCTGTTTTAGCTGTGAGAAGTTTCCTCTAAGTAGTCAGGGTTAAAACCCCACAGTGCAGAGTGGTGGGACAGGGAAAGGCTCCTGCATAACACCTGGCTGAGACCACCAGAGCTGAGGCTTTGTCTGGCAAGAAGAGGCATAAGGTAAAAAAACAAAAAACAAAAAACAAAAAAAACACAGAGCACTAAATTAGCTACAGCCACTCACCTTGGGCTCTACCAGAGGGAGGGCAGACTTGACTGGAAATGTTTGAGGAAAGTAGGGTATTCTGAGAGCTGGGAAGAAGGACACGGGGAGTTTTGTGGTGAATCAATCCTTTATAGCACAGTGGCCATCTTATCCAAAGATCCCCTTCTCAGAGCTACAGGGAGAAGCAACAGCCCCTCCCTGATGAATTTAAACCACCAGGCAAGGCCAGAGAAATGCAAATTGAGGCTCACTAACAGCTAGAGACTGCCAGCAAGCAATTACCCCACCTGCTTGAAATCCTCTTACCCTGCACACCTGAAGGAGTTTCATTCAGCTAAGGGGCTACAAATTGAGGCTTATCAAATAACTGGGACTAATAAGCTGCAGGCAAAAGTTAGAAGAAAACTGACCCTTTGATTGGCCTGCAAATCTACATCAGGAAAGTAAGACTTGACAGTGGTATGTAATGTGGGTCCTCCCATACTCATCCAAACCCAGTAGAGGGAGCTGCAATCAGCAGACACCAACCTCTACAGGAAAATTTCAGCCAGCTCCAAAAGCCACCGAAACAGTCAAAATAGTGAAACAAAACCCAAATGAAAAAACAAGAGTTCTACAGAAAAGATAAGTGAAATGCAATTAAGAAAGTCATCAGAGTTAGAGTTCAGAGTAATAATTATGAGCAAGCTCAACAGCATGAGTAAAGATATAGAAACATTAAAAAAATCAACCAACTGGAAATGAAAAACTGCCAAGCAGATATGAAGAATGAAAGCATGAAAAACAAAACAAAACAAAAAACACATGGGAAGGAATAAACATCAGAATTGGGGAAGCCATGAATCAAATCAGTGAATTAGAAGATAGGGCAGAAAAAAAATTGCCCAATCAGAGAACCAAAAAGAAAAAAACAATTAAAAAATCAGAAAGAGCTAAAGAGAACTGTGGGACAAGACAACATCCACATCATAGGCATTCCACAAGAAGAAAATGAGCAAGGGTTAGAGAATATATTTGAAGAAATAGTCACAGAAAACTTCCCTCACTTGGTAAAGCAAAAAGGCATAAAAGTTCAAGAAGCACAAAAAACATCAACTAAGAACAACTCAAAGAGGCCCATGCCAAGACACATAATGAAAATGCCAAAAAAAAAAAGAAAGAAAGAATCCTAAAAATGCAGCAAGAGATAAGCAGTAGATTACCTACAAAGGAATACCCATAAGGCTATCAGTTGACTTCTCCAAAAAAAAAAAAAAAAACACTACAGGCCAGAAAGGAATGGTATTATGTAATCAAGGTAATGAAAAACAATGATCTGAATCCAAGAGTACTCTATCCAGCAAGGCTATCATCCAACATAGAAGGTGAAATAAAGAGCTTCTTAGAAGAAAAGAAAAGAAAAGAAAAGAAAAGAAGAGAAGAGAAGAGAAGAGAAGAGAAGAGAAGAGAAGAGAAGAGAAGAGAAGAGAAGAGAAGAGAAGAGAAGAGAAAAGAAAAGAAAAGAAAAGAAAAAAGTCTAAGGGAATATATTAACACCAAACCAGCACTGAAAGAAATGTTAAAATGACTACTGTAAAGAAAGCAAAATAAATAGGAAGAGGAACATAACCATAATAAACAAAAATGAAAATACATAATAACATATTAATAATAACCTTAAATGTAAATGTATTAAATACTCCAATCAAAAGACACAGAGTAGCTCAATGGATAAGAATGTATGGCTCACATATATGTTGCTTACCAGAGCACCACCTCAGACCAAAAGACTCACATAGGTTAAAAGTGAAGGGATGGAAAAAAAAATATTCCAAGCAAATGGACAGGAAAAAAAGCTGGGGAAGAAATACTAATATCCAATAAAATGAAGGCCATACCTAGAGACAAAGACCACTACATAACAGTGAAAGGATCTATCCAACAGGAAGATATAACCTTGGGAAAAATATATGCATACAACATAGGAGCACCAAAATACATATATAAACTTCTGGAGGACTTCAGTGGAAATCAACAGCAATACAATCATAGAAGGGGCCTTCAATACCCAACTGATATTACTGGATAGATCCTCTAGACAAAAACTTAACAGGAATACAAAGACTCTAAATGATGCACTAGATCAAATAAATTTAACAGATATCTACAGAGAATAACAGACCAAAACTGCAGAATTCACATTCTTCTCAAGTGC